TAGCCCTGAGGATGCAACGGGGGAACAAAATATATCCTGCCCTCGTCCTCCTACAATATTGGATCAGTAGGGAAGACAGACAAGAGCGTCCGGCCAGGGACTGACTGTGTGATGGTGGGTAAGTCCCTTTCCCTCTCTGGTCCTTTGCGTTTTGGCTTACTCTCCATCCCTTATCCCCCTGCTTAAAAGCCTTTGATGGGCCCTCTTTGCTTACAGAGCATTATGGGCATCTTCGGTGGCCTGATCTTCAAGGCCCCTCAGAGTTGGGCTCTAGTCCACCTTCTCAGCACATGCTTCCTGCTCTCCCATCCCAATTTTGCTCCATTTTTATTTAACCAACATTTGTGTGTCACTTTCTAAGTGCCAGGCACTGTCTAAGTGCTTCACAAATTGTCACTTGTTTAATTCTCACAGAAACCCCTTGAACTAAGTACTGTGACTCTCATCGCCTCTATTTTAAAGATGAGGACATTGAGGCAGAGAAGTAAGTAAATTGCCTAAGTCCACACAGATGCTAAATGGCATGGATGGGATTTGAACCCAGGCCGCCTGGCTCCCAGTGCACGCACTCCACTGCTGCTGTTTTGCCTCTCTGTCTGTTCTGGGCACTGGCCCTACTAAGTTCCTTTTCCAGGTACAATTCAACAGCCATTGCCCACTTCCATGAAGCCCTCCCTGATGCTTCCCAGGCTGAATGAATTCTTCTTGTCTCTGTGTTCCCGCAATGCCTTGCATGTCCCTCCCCCTGGTAGCCCTTCCCACGAGGTGCTATTGTTCTGGTTTGTGTATCGTCTCCTCTGCCGGATGCTGAGCACCTCAGGTTGGGGGAGGAGGAGGCTGAGTCTGACCCTTTCGGTCTCCTCTGTGTCCAGCCCAGCATCCTCATATCATCCACTCTCCACGCAGCAACCAGAGACATCTTTTAAAAGCAAAACCAGTTTTTATCACTCCCCTTCTTAAAATCATCCATTGACAATCCATTTCATTTAGAATAAAATCCCAAATCCTGAACGTGACCTAGCCTTCTAGGCATGACCCAGCTCTGCACCCTCTCTGCCCCCATCTGCTGCCACTGTTCCCCTCGCTCACTCTGCTCCAGTCACACTGGCCTCCTGTCTGTTCCCAAACAGTCCAGGCTCACATTAGGGCCTCTGCCAGAGCTATTTTCTCTCTAGAATGTTCTGCCTCACATGACTGACTTCTTGTTATTCAGGCCTCAGTTCCATGTCGCCATTTCAGACAGACCACCCTATTGTTTGTTTGTATCCTTAAATGTTTTCATATTGGCTTTTTACTTGTTATTAATGACTGTTTCCGTTGCAAGTCTGTAAGCCCCACGGGAGCAGGGGTCTGGGATGTCTTGTTCAGCACCTGGAACAGCGCCTGACACAGAATAGCCACTCAATGAGTTAGTGTTGGAGGAAGAGTAGATGCTCACCAAGGTCCTTTTGGGATCCTACGTGTTACAATTCAACTAGGCCAGATAATATAATAGAATATATCTAAATCGGTCTCATCTCAGGCTAAAAGCTGGGATAATTTCACAAGCTGAAATTCACTATCTTTATCACGCTCCTATGTCCTGCCTGCAATCATGCTCCCAAAAGTAAGGCAATTTTGTTGACCACTCTCTACTGACTCCCCTTCACCAGGGATGCTTAGAACTCCTTACGTGTGTTTTACTTTGTCCACCTAAGTCTCAGGGACACTTGTGAGATACTGCCCTCCCCATCTTTCAGGCAGGGACATCCCTGAAAAGCGAAAATGCTGACATATGAGTGTCCAGAGCCTGATGGGAGCACACACAGCAGTCAGGGCCGTCACATTTCATCAGTAACAGGAGAAACTTCATTGCTCCAGAAAGGCACAAGAGCTGAGTCCTGCCAGAGCCTGGGCCAAACACTACTCATTTAACACCTCAAAAGAATGGCGGTCTGTAGCCGAGAGGGATATGCAGCCAAATTCAGGGCAAATGGGAAAAGAGAGGCTTCACATGAAGGCAACCAGAAGGGCAAACATGTGCAGAAATAAGATCTGGGTGTCCAACTGCAGAGCCTTTGCTAAAGAGAACCAAGGGGCCAGCCAGGAGATGCATGCAGAGGCCAGAATATAGGTACTACCAGCATCGACTTTCTTCAAAAGGACATGAAAGGGAAATGTGTCAAAGCATCTCAAAGACCAACTGCCATACACGGTCATCCTCTTGAGAACCAGAAAGGATGTTCCTTGCCCCACTTCCCCCTCCTCCTTCCAGCCACTTTGAGCAGAGAAGGAAATCGCTTGCTAAGTTCATGAGCTGAGAAACTCTAAGGCCTGATCTTCCAGGCAAAATGGCAAACTGAAAAGGACTCTGGATTATGGGTGCAAAGGTCTTGGCTCTGGTCTCAGCCTGTGGAGCTTTGGCTACATCCCTCTCCATCTCTGACTCTTGCCTTCCTCACCTGTTGGATGTGCCTGTTGGGTTTGTTGATTTCCAAGTCAATGATTTCCATGACTTCAAGTCTTCTAGCCTCTGAGCTCATGGTTCAGACTACTTTGAAAGGGAAGCTCTCACTTTTTTCTTTTTCTTCACCGGGCTCATTTTGTCTTTTGGTTAGCCTTGCAAATAGTCGCTGGCCTCTGGCCGCAGTGTAGGTAGTGGAGATAAATAATTCTAGCTTGGTAAAACCTCTTGAGGGTTGATGTACCCCTTGTTTTTTCTGAAATAGTGTCTCTAATGCATGTGGCTCATCACTGTAGTGCGGCCTCTCTCAAAACTTTCTGCTAAAGATAGGAATGTTCAGAACAGACTGAGGAGTGAAAGCATCACTGAGTTAGTGACTTCCAAGATGGAACAACATTTGAATGGCAGAAGTTGTTATTGATGTTAAAATCCTTCTGCACTGAGTGATATGATGTCTTGGGTTTGCTTCAAAATAAATTTGTGTGTGTGTGTGTGTGTGTGTGTATGTGTGAGATGAGTGTGGGTGTGGGTATAGATGAAACAAAATTGGCCAACTGTTGAAGCTGGTTGATGGGTACGTGGGGGTTTATTATACTATTCTTTCTATTTTAAAAAAATGTGCTTGAAATATTTCATCACAAAAAGCCCTTTGGAGACTGGCTCCAGCCTTTCTCTGCAGTCTCATTTCACAGTCCTCATCTCGAGGACCCTCTGGCACAGTGACATCACCCTAGTGGCTGTGATTTCACACCTCCAGTTCCATCTGTCTGAGGTACTCTTCCTCTGCTTTCCCCACGGTTCATCACTCCTGTCTCTGAGACCCCACAGCCTTGTATACGCACCTTGATCATAGCACTTATCACATCATGTTGCAACTGTTTTCTTGTCTGCTTCCTCTGCTAGTCTGTGTCCTCCTCAGGACACTTCTCTGTCTCCCCAGGGCACAGCCAGTACACATGTGTGGTCCTCAGTGCATGTTTACAGAGGGAATAATAGCAGGAACGATAGCTACCATTGTTTGAGCACTTATTAGGTGCCAGGCATTGCACTAAGCTCATAGTACAGGTATTTCATTAAACCCTCACCACCACGGGTACTACTAACCTGCCTTCTCAGAAGGTTGCTCGCCCAAGGTCACGTGCTAGTAAGTGACAGAGCTGAGATTTGGACTCAGAACAGTAACCACTCTGCTCTTCTCCCTGCATCTAGGATTTTAAAAGACTTTTCTGTGAATGTTATGCAACAGGCCCAGGAGTTTGGGAGCTTGGGCTTTTAGATCCAATCTACTACTAAACTGCTGAGTGACCTTGGGCAAATCACCTCTGCCCCTTAGGCCCCATCTCCTGGTGAGACTGTCATTGAGTGAGAGTATCACATGACGCAAGGGCCCTCCCAGCTTCAGCTCCAAGAGAAAAGGTTTCCTCTTCCACATTTGGTTTCCTGCCGCTAAACTAGCTTCCCCGTTTGGGAACCTGTCAGCTTCTTATATTCATTCAACCTCTTTTCTTGTTAATTGTAACCTCCCAGAGCCAAACCTGTTCACAACCTGCTACCCAGTTCCCCCTCACCCGCTTCTCCCCTTTCGGGCTTCATCCCGGAGGTGGGGGCGGAACCCTGGACACGAGGGAGGGGGAACATGGAGCTGCCCCGTTCGTGCCGCTTCCCTGCGGTTTCTCGGCGCCCTCCCCTCTCGGAAACTCAGCCTCACACTTTCTAGGGATGTTCCGGGGACAGCCAGAGTCAGTGATTGCAGCTACCAGCCTCGGGCATCTGTGTTAGGCTATCCAAGGAAGCCCGTGGTCCTGAGCTAGGGTGGAGGTAGGGGTCTGGAGGGTAGAGGAGGAGGCGCATTCCTTCTTTCTAGCCTAGGCCCAGCCCGCCCAACTGGAGCCCGGGACCCTTCTGAGCCTGTCTCCCCTCCCACCCTCTTTCTGACTTCCAGCTGGGACCCGCCATTGCACGGCCAGGCCTTGCGAACTGCAGACCCAAGCCAGAGACGCGCGGTTGTGACTAGGCCCCCCTCCCCAGCTCGTCCCGACACCGCTCTGGGGGAAGCCGAAATCCCCCATGGATGCAACCACCCACTCCCGAGCAACGCGGGAGGCCCCAGCCCCTCGGCTTTGTTCGCGGCTCGCGGGGAAGCAGGTTGTCTGCAAGAGCTGTCCGCCGCCGCGGTGCTGACGCGGGGAGCGGAGCCCGCGGGGGAGAGGGACTGTCCTCGGCGGCCGGGCCGTGGTACTGAACCCGGACCCAACGAGGAGAGGAGCCGGCCGGGCGGCCGCTGTCCGCCTGTGCAGTGCTGACCGGGGAGAGGACCCCGCCGGGAGCGGGAGCTGTCCCCAGGGCGGTGCTGAAGCGAGAAGGAGCCCCGGCGCCCTTCGCCTCGCCCCGGAAGAGCCGGCGGCGGCTGAGAGCTACCGGGAGAAGGAAGGAGGGAGGAAGCCGCCCTCAGGGAGCTCCGCAGCGCGGGGCCTATGGCTAGGGTCTCTCCGGCGAACCTGCTCCAGCGGAGGAGGTGCCGGCTCAGCAACAGAGAGCGAGCGCGCGTTCTACGAACCTGTTGGAGGCTGCAGCTCCTCCGCGGCCGACCAGGGCGCCCGGGACCGAGATTCTGGCGCGCCTCTCCCTCCCCCTCTTCCTGGACTCCTCCGCGGAGGCGCTCCCTCCCGCCTGGGCTAGCACATGTGCACGCGGGGGGTGCCGAGCCCCTCTTAGGTCCGCCTCGAATGTCAGCCGAGCGGTAGGGCACAGAGCCGAGAGCCCTCCCCCAAGGGCAGACCCGCTCCCAGGGAGACCCAAGCTTCCTGAGAAAGAAGGCGGGGGCTAGCGACGGGGACGAGAGAGGGCGCCAGCAGAGGTGTCTCTGAAACCAAGAGGGAGACATGGGGGAGTTCCCTATACAGTGAATTCTGCCTTGAAGTTTGAAGACTTTAAGAGTCCTGCTACTTAGGGGGCAAAGGGCTTCCTGCCTTGGAGATATCTCTCGCTCTCTCTCCATTTCTGTGACCAATAACCAAATACAGGTCTGGTACCTGCTCTGTTGCAAACTCCACTCACTGCCTGTAGTACCCCATTCCAGTCCATCATCTACCATGCCCTAGAGACAGCTTTCTAAACCTTCCATATATATAGTGCATCTATAAAATGCAAACTCTTTGGTGTGGCATTTAATTTCCTTCACCAGAAAGATTCAGGGCCTCCTGTCAAGCTGTGTTCCCACTAGGACAGATGGCCACTCATTCCGAACAGGTTCACCCCAGTACCTTAGCACCTGCTGCTCTCTTTGGCTGGAACATTCTTCTCCCTTAGTACTTATGCTTTTTATGCAAGTGTCCTAATTCTCAATGAAAATTTCCCTGATCCTTAAGGCATAATCACTTCCTCCTTTAGGCTCCTTCAGTCTTTATATTCCTCTACTAGACTTCTTATCACATTGTATTATGATTACTTATGCATCTATGTCTTCATTTACCAGGCTCAGAAAAACTGGTTCCATATTTTATGTTTCTCTGTATCTCCACCTCCTAGCATAATGACTGGCACACTTTAGATATTGAATTATATCTGCTGAATGAATGTACAAGTGAGAAGCAGAGGTCAAAGTAACTTCCTTTTCTTTGTGTGTTTGTTCATTTGATTTATATATATACACATACATATACATACATACAAATATATATATATGTATATATATATGTATACATGTATATATATGCTTATCACATCCTGCAAGCCCCACATGGCAGCAACCCTGCCCAACCCTCCTGCCTCATCACTACCAACTCTGTCCTGACTCAGTCGTTCCATCCATGGTGACCTCCATTTTATACCAAGTTGCTCTTTAAAATTCTAAGGGTTTTTTTTTTTTTTTCTGTTTTCTCTACCTGGGCCCTCATAACCTTGAGCTTCACATGGCTGAGTCCTTCTTGTCCTTTCAGCTCAAATATCTCCTAAAGAGACATTCTCTGGCCCCCCTATCTAATGTTTGCTTCCCCTATGACATTGCCTATTTCATTTTTCTTAGTAATTACTACTCTCTGAAATGAATTTACTTGTGTGTTTACTTGTTTGTCACTGGCTTTTCCTCAACTAGAAGTGAAACTCTTCTGGGACAGGGGTCATGTCTGTCCTGCTCATTGCGGCATTCTCACTGCTTAGCATTCTGAAAGGAACTTCCCTTGCACTGGTGCATCCATGGCCCCTTTTTTCCCTGGAAAGGCTTGAGCTATTGTGCAGATCACTGTGGAATCTTCCTCTGGGTATAAATCAACTAAGAATGTTTCAGGAAAGAGGGTCACAGTGATATTCCACGTGACTGTGAGGTGACAGGCCTGAATCCCAGCCCTTTTAACCCCGGATGGCAAAAACACAACAACGCACTTCTGCACACCATACAAAGCACTTTCATGTCCACGATCTCATTTGATATGCATAACAACCTTATCTGGTAGATGTTATTCTCCCCAAGACGGAAAACATCTGAGGCTGAAAGAGGCAGCCTGACTTTACAGAGGACTCATGGCTTGTAAGTGGTGACGCTGCTCCCGGAACTGTGCTACATGCTGGGAATCTAGAACCAAGAACATGGCTCCTGCCCTCCAGGATTTCGTATTAGTAAGAGACACAGGCACAGAGACAATGGACCGTAATACAATTTGCTGAATAGTCAGCAGTGATTCTCAACCTGAAGATAGGTGGGGTGGGGAAGAAATGGACCGGCTTCCAGGGTCAGAATAAACTGAAATTCTTTTCAAAAACAATTACAATTTGTTCAGCACTTCCTGGGTGTCTAGTACTCTACTAAGTGTTTTATACACTTTGGCTCAACTAACCATTCTTGCCTCTTTCTATTCCCATTTACAGGGTTAACAGAACTTTGGGTAGGTTAAGTAACTTGGCCAAGGTCATGAGGCTGGTAAACAGCTGAGTTGGGGCTTAACCTGAGTTCGTGAGACTCAATGCCTGAACTCTTAACTGCTTTGTACCCCAGACCCGCTGAATCTAAATGTCTGGTGATCAGGGATGGGCCTGGGATTTGAAGGTGATTCTTAGGTCATTCTCTTATATCTTAACCCCTATTGAGAAATACTTAGGTGGAGAGTACTGCTAAAGGAGAGGAAGGAGAGAGGAATGAACGCTACCTGTCGGGGGAAGTTACAGGAGATTGAAGCCAGATCTTGAAGGATTAAGTGAGAGTTTCCAGGCAGACAAAAGGTGGAGAGTATTTCTGTCAGAGGAAACAGAATATTCAAGGACCTTGGGGTGTGGAAATGAAGGGACTGTTAGCGGTTTGGTGTGGATGGAGTGCAAGGCTGATGTAAGGGGAAGGGGATGGGAAATGAGGCTGGGATTCAGTTTGGACTTGGCTGTATTCTACAGGCGTGGAGAGCCAGGGAAAGTCCAGAGCTCTGCTTTCACAACTGCTGTCATCACCTGGATCCCCCACGGCAGCAACACTGGGTCCATCCTTGACAATTGGGAGGGTGCTTTCTAATAACAGAAATACCACTCTGGAGTGACGTGGACCTGAATCTCCATGAAGCTATCACGACTGCGGCTTGTTCTTACTGTTCCCTAGCACCCAGCAGAGAACCTGGAGCAATGTAGGTGCCCGGTAAGTATTTGTTGAAGAGGAAGAAACTGGAGGAATCTAGTTCAGAGGCTGCTGCAATAATTCAAGTAAGAGAGAAGTGAGGAGAAGCATCGCTCAGTCCAAGAGTGCAGAATTCTTTAAACTGCTGACTCTGGGAAGTAAAAACCTATGCCCCCTAACTCTGAGCACCTTGAGGAGACTGGATCTTAGCTGGTCACCAAATAAGGGCAACAATTTCCCCCTCCAACATACAGAAAAGCATATTGGTACGCAGGAGGCCAACACCCAGCTAAGCCAGGATTTCTTCCGTTTTATGCACATTATGTCTTTTGGCTCCTGGATTTTGGTCCTGATGGTCTCCATTACGGAGCAATAGCGTTACATGCCATTTTTGTTTCATTTCAGTGTTTTAAAGGGTAATCATCATGCTAATGAAACTCAGTCTTGGCTCAAGAACTAAAATCTACCTTCTGTTTTTCCACCTCTCTGGGAAGTCCACATGGGCCCTGGTAATGGCTGATTCCAGAGGGCTGATTTGTATCAGGCACCTCTAAAGCCCTTGATATATATTACCCCTATGAGGTAGGTATGACTCTTATCCCCACTTTACAGAGAAAGAAAAAAGAAGTCGAGAGACCTGCCCACCCTTACACTCTGCCAGTGGCAGGCTCGAGCCCTGGGTGTTTGGCTTGAGTCTGCAGACTCCAACACCACATGCGACTGCCTCCCAGATGACATCTTTCCATTCTGTTTCCTTCCAGACCTGTGCAACCCTGGGCAAATCATTTCATCTCTGAGAGCCTCAGTTTCCTTTTCCATATGTGGGGATCAAATGAACCTCGAAGGAAAGTTGCTGGGGGATAAATGAGGTGATGTATGAAGGCATCTAAATGGTACTGTTTCCTTTTCTGGTCTTCCTCATCTGGACCACTGGCTCCACATCTGCCCAGCCGCTTGGGCCACAGATCCAGGGGCCACTGTTGAGTTCTTCCTTTCCCTAAGCATCCAATCCATCAGCAAGTCATTTAAGCTCTTCCACAAAAATTCATCCACAATTTGTTTACATCTCCTCTCTACCACCTTCTCTCTCATCCACACCACCATTCTCTCTTGCCTGGAGTACTACAACAGCTTCTTAACTGGTCCCTCTAGTTCCATTCTTGCTCCCTAAAGTGATTTTTAAAATATATATCTCATATAGCAAAGAACAGAAATCACGTGAACGGCTTAATTAATTATCACAAAGTGAGCACAACTGTGTAACCAGCACTCAGATAGTGAAATAAGGCAATCATGACACCCTGGTTATTACCCTCTTACTCCTCCTCAAAGGTAACCACAATTCTGACTTCTGACGTTAGATTAATGTTACTGATCTATGAAATCATGCAGTGTGTACTCTTTTGTGTTTGACTTCTTTGGCTTAATGTCATGTTTGTGAGATTCACCCACGTTGTTGCTTGTGTCAACAATATGCTACTTTTTATTGCTGTATAGTATTCCACCATATGAATATATCTCAATTTGTTAATGGCTTTTGGAGTTGTTTCCAAGTTTTGTAAAGATCTTTCGATACATATAGTAAGCGTTTTTGTTGGGTGTATTCCCTGGAGTGTAATAAATGGGTAAGCTTTAGTAGATACTCTGAAACAGTTCTGTAAAGCAGAGATACCAATTTGCACTCTTATAAGCTGTGTTTGAGAGTTCTAGTTGCTCCATATCTTCGCCAACACTTGGTATTGCCAATTTTTACTTTTAGTCGTTCTGTGTATGTAGTGAGTACGTAGTGGTTTTCATTTAAGTTTACCTCATGACTAATGAAATACTTTTCCACATGCTCACTGGCTACCTGCAAAACTTCTTTCGTGAGGTGCTTGTTCATGTCTTCTGTCAATTTCCCTAATGCGAGGTCTGTCTTTTTCTTACTGATTTACAAGGATTCTTTATATATTCTGGATAGAAATCCTTTGAGGTTATAAGTATCATAAAGTTCTTTGCCTAGCCTGCGGCTTGCCCTTTCGCCCTGTTAATGGTGTATTTTGATGAATAAAAGTTGCTATTTTTATTGTAGTTTAATTTATCATTTTTTTCTTTATCGTTAGTACTTTTTGTGGTCTATTTAAGAAATTTTTGTCCAACCAAGGTCATGAAAACATTCTCCTTGTTATCTTTGAGAATCTTTATTGTTTTGCCTTTTATATTTAGATTTATAATCCAAA